TGCGGTGGCCGGGAGCGGCCACTGCACTCTAGTCTGGGCGACAGAGTGAGACTCCAACTCAAAAAAAAAAAAAAAGAAAGAATGCATATTGTAATCCCTAGAGCATCCACTAGAAAAACTGTAACACAGCTAAAAAGTCAATAAATTAAAATGCAATTTAAAAATAATCAACTAAGCCAGGTACAGAGGCTCATGCTGTAATCCCAGCACTTTGGGAGGCCAAGGCAAAGAGGACTGCATAAGCCCAAGGATTTGAGACCAGCCTGGGCAACTTGGTGAGACCTTGTCTCTACAATAAAGCAAAAAAAAAAAAAAGAATTAGCTGGGCATGGTGGTGCACACCTGTGGTAACAGCTACTAGGAAAGCAGAGGCAGAAAAGTCGCCAGAGTCCAGCAGGTTGAGGCTGCGGTGGCCATAAGCTTTACCACTGCATTCCAGCCTGGGTGACAGAGTCAGACTCAGACTCAAAAATTAAAAATAGTAACAATCAACTAATTCAAACAGAAAATCAAGTACAATATTAGACTTAAACCAATTTAGTGTTAATAAACTTTCATTAAAAGGTAAAGATGATCAGAATAGATAAGAATGCAAGACCCATGTATATATTGTTTATAAGAAATCCACTTTAAATAAACTTGGAGAGGTAGAAAGGAAATAACAGGAAAAAGTATACTGAGTAAACAGTATGCGCAGAAAGGCTGGAGTGGCTATATTCACATCAGATAAAGTAGACTTCAAACCAAAATGTATTACCAGAGACACAGAGAAATTTCTTGATAAAATGGTCAACACCTTAGAAGGATGTAACATAACCTAATAACAATTTTGAAATATGAAGCAAAAATTGGTGGAAAAAACACTCTCTCAGCACCTGATAAAAATAATAAATTAGCAAATCATAGATCTGAACAATTTACAATATTATCAATCACCTAGTCTAATTAATATTACAGAACACATTTACCCAATAATTCAAATCACATTTTCTTCCAACTGTACATGGTACATACACAAAGATAATATACTGGGTCATAAAACAAGTCTCAATAAAACTAAAAGGACTGAAATCATAAAGAGGATACTTTCTGACTGCAATGAAATTAAAGTAGAAATCAATAACAATAAGATACTAAGGGAAAAATGCAAATATTTACTGATTAAACAACATACTTTTGATAATCCATAGGTCAAAGAAAAATTCACAGAAAAATTAGAAAATAATTAGAACTGAATGAAAATACAGCATATTAAAATTTTCTTTTTTCTTTTTCTTCGAGTTGGAGTCTCACTCTATCACCCAGACTGGAGTGCAGTGGCCGCTCCCGGTCACTGTAGCCTCAACCTGCTGGGCTCCAGCGATCCTTCCACCTCAGCCTTCCAAGTAGCTGAAACTACAGGCACATGCCACCATGCCTGGCTAATTTTCTGATTTATTGTAGAGATGAGGTCTCACCAAGTTGCCCAGGCGGGTCTTGAACCCACAGGCTCAGGCAATCCACTTACCTCAGCCTCCCAAGGCGTGGGATTACAGGCTGAGCCACAGAGCCCTGCGTACAGAGAAATTATAGGTTTAAAGATTTATATTAAAGTCAAAACTTAATGACCTAAGACATCTTAAGATACAAAAGAAAAAAGAGCAAATAAAACCCAAGCTAAGCCGGGCTTAGTGGCTCAGCCTGTAATCCCGCGCTTTGGGAGGCTGAGGTGAGTGGATTGCCGGAGCCCGCAGGTTCGGGACCTGCCTTGGGCAACTCAGCGAGACCTCATCTTTACAATAAATCAAAAATTAGCTGGGCGTGGCAGTGCATGCCTGTAGTTCCAGCTACCTGGAAGGCTCAGGAGGAAGGACTGCTGGAGCCCAGCAAGTCGAGACTGCAGTGGCCGGGAGCGGCCACTGCACTCCAGTCTGGGCAACAGAGTGAGACTCCAGCTCAAAAAAAAAAATAATAATCAGATAAACAAAATTGATAAACTCCTACACCAAGATAAATCAGGAAAGAGAGAACAGAAATTACTAGTATCAGAATGAAAAAGAAGCTAGCTGAGTCCTGGAGTTCAAGGCCGCAGTGAGCTATGATTGTGCCACACTGTGCTCTAGTCTGGGTGCCAGAGCAAAACCTATCTCAAGAAGGTTATCAGCAAAGCTCCTAGAGACATTAAAAGGATAAGCAGGGGTTACTATAAAAACTTTATGTCTACAAATCTGACAACCTGGGACAAATGGATAAATTCCCTAAAAATATAATTTCCCTAAATGATACAAGATAAAACCAAACACTTGAATAGCCTTGTATTTATTAAATGAATCAACTCTAAAAAAAATGCCCACCAAAAACAAAACACTTTGGGTCAAGATGGTTTCATTCATTAACTCTAGAAATGTAATCATGAAAGAGGGGATCATTAGAACTGATGTCGTTAAAAAGTCAGCTTTTAATACCAACAGGAATACCGGCCAAGAGTCCATATTATGCAGGTTAAAGAAGCCAGACCATCAAGAAGCAGGAAATCAGCTCTGATGGAATTCACTTCTTCTTCCCTTTCAAGGGCTTGGCAAATAAAGCGGGGTCAATGTGCTCCTTTGTCAGTCCCCTGGCAGAGAAGAGTCTTGCTGCGCGCTCCTGCAGAGTCCCCCCACACTTCAGCCCAAGGGCCATCAGCTCACATTTGAGCCTCTCCAAGCCCAGGACCTCCAGGTCTGCAACGGAGTCGAATGCCAACAAATCTATGGTTCCCTTACCAAAAACCTGACGGGAAAGACAGAAAGAAAATGTTTAAAACAGGCTCCTTCCTCGGAATACTTTAATAGTCAGCTACATTCTATTTTTCAAAGAATTTTCATTTAACTTGCTATATCTTGCCACTGAATTTTAAGAATCATCTAGATGTTATTCCCTATGTATTTCTCAATACACTTAATTAATAAACTAGTTTCTCATCTATATATTTAGAAACAAGCATTGAGGACAGTAACAGAAGTATAGATTCCCAAACAGATTCTTTTTTTTTTTTTTTTTTGAGTTGGAGTCTCACTCTGTCGCCCAGACTGGAGTGCAGTGGCCGCTTCCGGCCACCACAGCCTCGACCTGCTGGGCTCCAGCGATCCTTCCACTCACCCTTCCAGGTAGCTGGAACTACAGGCGCGCACTACCACTAATTTATTTATTGTAGAGATGAGGTCTCGAACCTACGGGCTCAGGCAATCCACTCACCTCAGCCTCCCAAAGCACGGGATTACAGGCTGAGCCACCAAACCTGGCAAAATTAAACACTTCTAACGATGCCTGCAAAGAATGAAAATGTTTACATTTAGGTGTTTTTTAAAAATATATTCAAAGAGCCAGGCTCGGTGGCTCAGCCTGTACTCCCGCGCCTTTGGGAGGCTGAGGTGAGTGG